CACCAAAAGATGGTTTTGAAAATAATCGACAATTCAACGTAATTGCGAGAGCCATCTTGATTGATGCAAGTTTGGTTCAATTATGGAAAGAAATAGGATACATCAATATATGTAATGATGCAAACGATCTTGTCATGTCGGGAGCATTACTCATTTTTTTTCCTCCATCACCACCATCCGGATGGACTATTCCTACTGCCGAAAGTATAATATCACGTCTTACTAAGCTCATCGAATTAGGGTTTGAACTCGACAACAAATCCATAGTAGACACCTTAATGATCTATGAGAATAAGTTGGACGATTACGGCGATATATTTTGGTCCGTTTTCTCCACAATTCGAAATAATGAATCAAATGATTCATTAGTTGCCGGCCTTTTTAAAGAGGCTTTTAAGCCATCAAGGGGTCTCAAAAAAATATTGATATTGACCTATTTAAAAAAAAAGAGCGAATATTCCGAACATATAATACTAAAAATTATCCAAGAATCATTTCAAAAGGAAAATGTTAATGATGTAGAATTTTTAATAAGAAGGAAATCATTGATATTTTCTCCTAAAATTTACCAATTTATCATCGACGCATATGGGAACGAATCAATGTTAGCAGCTACATGCTTCATCGACATATTTTCACTGAAACTATATCTTTATAATACAACTATTCCCCTTGTATCTCAATTTACGATAGATTCTATTAATAATATTTTCGAACTTTATAAACAAGGGATTGAATACAAGATAGAGTATTTTAGACGTTTAAAGGCGTTCTCGAGCACCTCAATTGATAGACTATTAAGTAATATAATTGGTTAAAAATATATATCAGATACCTATTCATTGAGTGAGATAGATACCTGACAAATCTATTTGACTGTTAATGCGTCAAACTCTTTACTTTTTTAATAAACTTCTTTTCATGTAAAAAAAATTATTTTTCATCAAGTTATCTTTTACCCACTTGCAGTTATTCCATTGAAGGGAATTCTTGTATTAGTAGAAATTTTTTCATTTTTGTTTTTTTAATTATTTTTTATATTTTATATTTTACATTTTACATTTTTAAAAATAAAATTTTTTGTTAATATGATTTCTTTTACATAAATAATTATGCTTATATAAAAATATCATTACTGGTAATTGATGCGCCACTTAAAATATGTATAAATAATCTACTTTACTCTCACATTTCGGATATACCAAATTGGTTGAGTCCAAATGCGAAGATCGTTTCGGACATGGGTATCCCAAATGCGCAGATCATGGATATCCCAAATACTCATTTCAAATATCCAAAATGACCACACAGGATATTCACCTAAATAGATTTCTGAATCGACAAGTCGTAAATTTAGTGCACCTTCATAAATTCGAAAACGCATTCCCATTTGATCGTAAGAATATTGGAGATTTCTTGGCAGGTAATTGTAGAATTACGTTTCAAGACCGACCTAAAGAACCTCGAGTTTTGTTTCGGAGATACATTGTTATGAAAAATAAAAGAATAACTATTAACGGGGCGGATATTAACTTTTGAATGTATTTTAATTTTAAAATCTCGATCGGAACAGCTTTAAATTGGAAGTTGTAGTGATGCTGAAAAATTACACAGGTTGCTTTCTTCTTTCGAGTCCTTGTATAAAAATGATTCACTCCGCCAAATGTATCCTTTCTTTTAATAACAAATAATATATTTAAAACTTACTCATATTTTCAGATTCATCATTTTTTGATAGTGTATGCTGAACATTACCCAAAGTAAAAAAAAAGAATAATAAATTAAAGATTTTATTTACAAAAAGTATTCATTGCAGCTGGATGAATTTATATAAATAGTGTAGATTTAAAAACTTACAGATTAATGAGTTATCTATTATTCTTCCAAAGGGTTATGCGATCAATAATACAAAAAAAAATAATTTACAAATATAGATTCATTGAGTTCAATTTCGTGGGTAATTATGCATGACCATGCATGTAAATGTACTTTAGCCTGCATGATTCCTATTAGAACTTGCAAGATTAGCTCACGAATTATAACTTTCGAAATTATATTAAGTTTTATAATTTTCAAAAAGCCAGACCTTGGGATGTTTTGCAGTTTGAAATTTTGGTATGGATTTTATTTGTTGATATTTTATATACCATTTATTTATCTGTAAAACGAATGAGTATTGATTGTATGGTCATTTCACGTGATATACTATATAACCCTACTATAATAATTGCATAATTGTTTATATCACAAAATACCAATTTTTTTGTTCTTGTACGACCATGTCAATTTTTAGATGTAATCAAAATTTATTATATCGTTAATTAATTTGTTTTAAAAAAAAATATATTCTCTTAAATGGTAAGAATCAATTATTATGCAAAATTCTACATGGAAACTTACAATTTTAATCTTTGGTTAAAATACATTATAAAATTTATGATTTTTAAATAAAATTTCATTTCTTAATAATTAAAATATTTTAAAATTTTTAAATAAATAATATATAATGTCTTAAATATAAATTTTTATATTTTATAAAGTTTTTTTGATAATGTAAAAATAAATAAAAATTTAGATTTTTGCTAAAAAAAAAAAATATAAAATGATTTATTTAATGGATAAAATAAGAAATGTTCTTTTAATATTATCCCTTCAATGATTTTTCTTCCAAATTTAAAGGAATTTTACTTACTAATTAAAGTTAATTTTAGATATATTAAAAAATTAATCATCAAACAAATAATATTCTTATAATTTAAATTTATAATATTTTTTAAGTAAAATCAAAAGAAATTTACATTAATTAGTAGCTTTTTGCATTAATTCAGATCAATTTTTAATAAAACTATTTTCTTTATAAAAGCTAAAATTTATAACTTAAAATAATAATAAAAAAAAATAAATATAAATCTATTCCTATTATTCCTATTCACAATTTTATTAACTTACTTAAAGATATTAAATAAGAATTATAAAAATAAATTATAATCAAATACATTATTATTAATAATAGCTTATTACTTAAATACATTCAAAATTTTCAAACAAAATACAAATTTTATTTTAAATTTTTTTTTATATATAATATCTAATATAATTAATAGAAAATCATAAAATTCTTTAAATAATAATTTATTATAATAGATTAATATTAGTTAATAATACTTTTTAATATTTAAAAAAATTATTTTTGTTAAATAAATTTTAACTTTGATCTATTTTATAAATCTTTTATTGATAAATATTTTTATAAATATTAAAAATTAATTTAATTTAGCTAGAATAAAAATTAAAAAAATATATTTTAATCTCTTAGTATAGTATTTAAATTGTATATATTTAACAAATTATTCTTAAATCATTTTATTAGATTAATGCTAAATAGATAATAAAATTTGGCTTCTTGATTTTATTTTTTTAATCTTGAAAAAATAAAATCCTTAAACTTGTAAAAAACCTAAAAATAAAGAAAAAATAATTGTTTTATCAATAATAAATAGAAATAACTAATTTATATTATCTTAAATTCTAATTTAATATATAGAAGCTTTTGCAGTAAAAAGGAAGGAAACTCTAAAAAACTAAGCTAAATATGATTTTTTTAATAAAATAAGTTCAGATTTAACATTAATTTAAAAAATTTTTTTTAGAATTTCTTCCTTTTCTATTGTAAAGCTCTTATATATATATTATATAATACATATTTTATATATTATTATCAAAGAAAAATAAAAAATATTAGTCAAATTAGTTAAGCATATCATTTTTATAATAAGATTTAGCTTTTTTTTACTATTAAAAAAAAATAAAAAGTAATTATATTATTTTAGATTACCTTTTTCTTTATATCAAATTTTATTTATTTATATTAAGACTGATAAAATCAAAGATATTATTGATTTTCTCAAGATTATCTATTAAATTATAATTAAAAGTAAGTAAATTATATAAATAAATTAATTAAAAATAAATTATACTAATTTAAAAAATTGTAATATATTTCTACTTTATTATAAGATAATATTGATCTTATTATTAAAGTTTATAAATTTAATTTTTGACTAAAATATTAAAATTTTTATTTTTATTAATATAATATAGATCTATAAAAAAAAATATAAATAAAATTATATTGATATATTGATAAATACTATGATATTTTAGTTAGCTGGTGGGTATACATATAAACTGTACTGTATGTACTGTACGAACCAATCACATCGTAATATACAATTGGTTAAAATCACATTTATACAGTACATATTATTCATTATATTAACATAACTAATATTTAAAAATCAAAACTGCTGAAACACATTATTGTAAAATTGCTTATTTATTTCCCCAAAAATTTCCCCAAAAATTTCCCCTTAAAAGTTCCATATAAATAATATATAAAGTATTAAATTTATAGTAACACGATTTGATTTACGAGTATGTAACATGTGAAAGTAAAAGTTTCATCACCACCATAGTGTATTTGGTATTTCTTATGGATGGTTTTTTTTTATTATCTATCATATATTATTATTACAGCTACATAGGTGAATAATTTCTAGCACATAATATTTTTTAAAAAAATATAATAATAAGGCCGTGAATAAATACGATTTCGTTTTTACGGCATTTCCGAGATAAATCAGAAACTTTGTTTATTAAATCGTAAAATTCCACAAGATCGGAAAAAAAAATTTTTTTTTTTTTTATATTATTTATATTAGCTAATCTAAAATTGGAAAAAGTTTAAGGAGACAATCGATTTAAAAATTTTGTATCACATTTATTTTCGCTCTAAAAATAAACTGTAAACAATAAATTTTAAATCAAAATATAAATATTCAATCAGTAGACCCAAATAATTCATAATTTAAACCATAATAGTATATCAAATACCCAATATTTCATCTCGTTTATAATAATTAAAAAGCTATAAATTTGGTGAATTGGAACCTTTCATTTTACATTTTTTAAAAAAAAAATTTGATAAAATACATTACAACATGGGAAAAGCATTGTCGAAACTACCAAGGAGAGAGTCAGTAGAGTCAGTAGAAACCGAAATCAACGATGTTTCGTTGCCAACTTCAACCAGATATTATGGTGATCTAAAACATCAGATTAAAAATGGTTTAGGTTCATTAAGTGAAATCGATAGAGTAAACTTACAGCATTTCTTATTAAAAGAATTGAATGGTTTTAATTTTAAATCACCTGTAAATTTGAATAATCCCCAAGTCAGTGTCTTAGATGTTGGGTAAGTTTCATGAATAATAAAAAAAAATTATTTTACAACGGTTACAAAGTTGTAACATTAAAATTATTTTCTTAAAAGGTGCGGTGCTGGAACTTGGGTCCTTGACTTGGCAAGCGAGAATCCAGCGAACTTCTACGGTATTGATATTTTACCACTTTTTCCAACAGAAATCAAGCCTCCGAATGCTTCATTCTCTATTGCGAATTTAGTTGATGGATTGCCTTTTGAGGATAATTCGTTTGACTTTGTTCATATGCGATTACTTGTATTTTGTTTGTCAGAATCAGACTGGGAAATAGCAATTCAAGAAATAGTTCGTGTATGTAAGCCAAACGGATGGATTGAAATATTTGAAGCCGACGTTACGTTCGCAAATGCTCTTAAAGATAAGACAGAATTTAATAAAGGTTAGCAACTTAGATTTCATTAAATTTGATTTTGACAAAAAAAAAAATATTTATAATTTTTTTTTAATTAATTAATTTGTTTTTAATATTACAGCAAAATCTATTTTAACCGAAAAATATAGTATCAATTTATGTCCAAGTCCATTAATAAGATCTTTATTAGAAACTAATGATTCATTGAATATAATTCATTTCGAAGAAAATAAACATAAACTTGGTAGTTGGGGTGGTAAATTGGGTAAATTAAATTTAGAAAATTATAAATGGGGAATGAAAAATTTTGCTACATCACTCGATTCCTTGGGGTTTACTGAGCAAAATTTTTTTAAATTTATTGAAGAATTAACTCAAGAAATTGAAGAAACCAAAGGTGTTTATGATGTTTATAATAGGTTTTGGGCAAAGAAATTGTAATTAATAATATTAATTGATTTATTATTGATTGGTAAATATTGCTTGCACAAAATATGATGTCAATTGTTGTTTGCATGAGGGTTGAAATAACGATGGCGTAATGATCTCGTTAGTGGTTATTCCAAATTAAAGTTCTTATGCGCATCTTTGGAATCACAATATTTTTAATGTTTTTTTTTTATTTTTACGACATAACATACTATAATTTACTGTTATAACTTTATAAAATAAATGTCTTTACAGTAATATTTTAGACTTGAATATCTGTCAAAGAGCGTTTAATAGCTACGATTGATTATATTTACCAAGTTAAATAAATATATTGATCGAAAATCTTGAAATTTTCTCAAATTCAACTTTTTTGCCAAATCTCTTTCGAAGATCGGTTACGAGAATCAAATCATGTGAATATTTTTAAAAATTCCGTTTGGTCAATTCTGATTTAGGCGCAGTTTGTAACTTTTTAAAAATTACAGTACATAAGATTTACTATCATTGTAAAATTACACGACAAATTGTAAAATGGTAGACGAAATTCATACTAACACGAAGCAATCTTTTGAAAAAATAGTAATCAAGGTATTTTATTACTAATATTATTATTTAAAGCTTTCCTTGCGGTATCACTAGATTCCGACATTTATAGATGAAACACTGGTTGCACAAACTGCTTATCGATGTAATCCTGAAAATCAAGAATTCTTAAGGAATGAAATACAAAATAGGGAAACAAAGGTATTGATAGAAAGTCTAAAAGTCCGTGGCTTTTCTTTTCCTATAGTAAATATAAATGTACAACTTGTAAATAGCAAGCCAGAAGTTTTACCGGTGAAATATTCAGATGTTAGTGTACTATACCTTAAATAAAAAATCTGCATGGGCGTCAAGTTCGATCATCTCTATATTTAGTAAGTTCAACTTTTAAATAATTATTTTTAGAAAGGGAAAGAATGAAAAAGAACGATCGTTATTATTATTATTATTATTTATTTTATGTTATTTAAACGATAAGAGATATGCATAAACACTTGAATAATGATTTGCTTTTTTATGGAAATGAGTGAAAGCTAATAAATAATAAGAAATGTTTACAAAGAAATATGTAAGATAAATTGATATAAAAAACTCAATGAGTGGATAAAAGGTATTTGTTACACATCAAGCAATATGGCGTTTTTGAAGTAGTAAGAGTTGAATGAATCGTTTAAAAAAAAAAAAAATTTTTTTTTAAATCTAAAAAAAATTCTAAGAATTAAAAGAATGATACGTAATCTAACCGTAGTAAAAAAAACAATCGTAAATATTCCGAGCCAATGATTTTGAAACGTAATCATTTTGCGTACCTCTATAGCCAATAACGCATTGGGTAGTTGATAGAATAAATAAAACGTCAAACTGATTTTTTGTTTACATAAAAGTTTAACGTAAAAGTAGAGTTTTGAAAGGAAGGTTTCCTCCTCCTGCATGCCCCTGATTTCTGGTGGCATATACATTTAATTCATTGGACTCATATGAAAAGCATTCTATGATGGAATATAGGGACACATTTCTTCTAAAGAATTAGCACTAGTTGCAACTTCAGGGACAAGGGCTTGAGTAATATAATATGATTATGATCATAATTTTTCAAAGGTTAAGATATTATTATTGTCTTCGGCCAAGGCACAAACAACTCCGTTTTAATTTAAAATATATTTGGTTAGTTTGCTTTTACGCATGATTCTTCATTTTTGGTATTTGTTTATTATTATTTATAAAATCAACGTTTCACATCTCCCCGCTGTACTTTAAATATTTAATAATTTAGCGGGAAATGTTTGATTTGTATAAGACCAGTGAGTTTTTCTATCAAAAGAATAGGCCTTTTTTTAAAAAAAAAGTCTTTGTCAGCAATACTTTTAATTAGGGATTGGAATCGATTTTCAGTTTCGTTTATGATTCTAATCAATTTATATATGAAGATTTTGGACGTACGCGATATGTGCTTTTTAATTTAATTTTAGTTATTTTATTTTAGTTATTTTTTTAAACTTTATTATTTATTTTCAAGCGATCGATTTTTTTTTATTCGATTTTCTATCAATCGATTCCAATCCCTACTTTGAATGGTTTTGCAATGTTTTACCGTTTCACTTTCAATGATTCGTTATTATTATTATCAAATGAATCTTTATTTACAAAACATGCTGTAAATATTTATAAATTTTGATTGTTTTTTATTTATTTGATATAATATAAGTTTTATTAAATTGTACAAACTAACTAACTCTATTCCAAATCAAATCAAATCAAATCAAATCTCGACAATAAATTTAAGTCGAAATATAGAACTCGTTTAATATAATCAATTGGCAATAATAATTTATTGAATTATTTTCAATATATCCGATACATTCTACGCAAAAAATTAATAATAAAAATTTAACTCGTTTATAATTTGATTTTCTTTTAAAATGACGGTAAGTAAAAAGGCATAAATTTATTTTTTAATAATTTGTTAAGGATTTTTTTTACTTACAACTATGTTTTTTCCTAAAGTTTGTACAATAGATACCGATCAGTAATTATAAATTCGTGAAGTCGATTTCTCGCCTCTTACAAGACATTAAAGCCCAAACGGGAAAACGAATCATGATTAGGAGGGTGGCCCAGAAGAAATGGGAAAAAAGAATAAAAATGATTCGACAAGTCACAATACTCGATCGGGATGCAAACGGAAGGTATGGTAGCTCCCGTACGTCAGAGATAGGTTCAGCTATGAGCAAGATCCACCATACGTATTGGAACAAAGGAAAATAAAGCAACAGTGTATGAATTAAAACAATCTAACAAATTTTTTTTTGATATTTCTTATTTCGCAAAAAATATCATTTTTTTTTTATAAATTCGCAAGATATTTATTTTTTATTACTTTTTATTTTATTTTTTATAATTCAAAGTCAAATTTCGAAATTTGATGTCGATCATGTGACGATTCTTTAAGTTATCGCAGTTTCAAATATATGTGAATCAGGTGATGATCAATTCGTGCACAAATTCATGTATTTGACCAATAAAAAATGATCAATCGACGTGCATATATGTTGTAATACGAATCTTTGTTGCTTTATCGTTACCATGACATTTAACTGTGATAAATCAATAAAACCAGACAAAAAGAATAGAACAAATGCAGTTAAGTTTTTTAGAAGTTGTATTAATAGTTTAGATGATAATAATGAAGTTTATAC